CCTCAGTCCTTCCATCCTTCGATCCCGCTCTTTTTTTTTTTTTTTTTTCTTTTAAATTTCAAACTCAATACCCGCGTTCATTTCTCTTTCCTCCCCTCCCCCTTTCTCTTTCTTCAATCTTGTTCGCGTAAGTTGTCGTCTTCGATTGTGCAACTTGAGGTTTTTGAGGTTCGCGCCACGCCGATTTTCCCCAAGTTTTCCACAATCGCGTCCCACTGAGGGTCGTCGGCAACGTTGTCCGCGCGGCCGGCTGATGATGCGCACGCACTCGTCCGAATCCGCTTGCACCGGACGCGGCGCGCCGAGGTGGAGTGCGGTGGAGAAGGGTGCTGCTTGGTGGCCGAGAATCGCTGCACAATGCCCACGTTTGACCTCGCATCCGAACCCACGAGGACGCCTTTTGCCGCTCTCCAGCCGCGCTCCCTGCCACTCTCCCGCCGCCGCTCCAGCGCCACGGTCGGTTTCAGCCGCAGGGCTACACGCTGGTGTGTGCGGCGGCGGGTGAACGCTCCACGCACGCATGCTGCCAAAGTCAAATTCGCGACAAACCAACCTCCGAATTGAACTCGCGACGATTTTGAACCAAGAAAAAAAAAAAAAAAAAAAAAGCAGAGCATAGCAAACTCCATTGCAAATCTCTGATATTACAAACCACCGCGAACTATCGACGATTGTCTTGGATTATGTGTAGTTTGTTGATCTTTGAATCCTGCTTCTGAATTAAAAAAAAACTAACTCCTTGGTTCTCTTGTTTGTTTGTTTGCGTTTTCAGAGATCAGAACAACTCTCTCCATCTCTCCCCCCCTCACTCGCTGTGCATCGTTTGGAGTTTTATACGAAAAACTCTAAACCCCGTCGGCAAAGGATCTGGATGAAAAAAGACCCAGGCGGTGGACTACTTGCAGAGCACGCAGCCACCAAATTTGACCATCCCCAAAACCTCCAGCAAGCAAACAACGCAGCGGTCACTCTGATGATGGCCAGCGCAGGCGGTGTTCCGACCGCATCGAGCGGAGCCAGCACCCCGTTTGGCAATTCGTCCGGCTCCATGCTCAAGCCTCTTTTATTGGCGGGACTGCCCGGCGCGATGGGCGGCGCTGGCGCGCCAGACTTTTCGAATGGCATGAATTTCAACAATGGCGTCCCAATCGGCAGCGGAGTCAGTGGCATCTCCACGCCGGTCGCGTCGTCTGGGCCATACCCGCAGTACTCGTCAACAGGACCAATGTCGTCCAGCGTGCCAATGCCGCAATCCCCGTTTGCACAAGCGGCAAGCCTGGCTGCCGCCAACGCTGGCATTGCCTCGCCTGCTCCCATGTTCCAACCCGCGCTGCCGTCCGGCGCGTCGTCGCAGTTCAATTTCGGCTCCCAGGTGCAGGGTCCGGTCACCATGGCAAACATGGCCTCGGTCACGGCGCAGGCAGGCACACCGCTGCAGCTCAACTTTTCCACGCGCGACGCCTTTGGCAACATTAACGGCTGCTTCTCGCTCAACATCAACCTAACACCCTCCTGCACCAACTGTGGCAGTCAAGTAGCCAGTACAGCGGCCCAAAACTCGGCTGCGAGCGGCGGCTTTGGCGCCAACACGCGAGGATACACGTCGACCGCCACGCGCCGATTGCGGCAAGTGACGCAAAAGGACACCCCGCCCAGATCACCGCTGGCTGCTACCCGCAGCACCAGCAGTCGGCTCGCCGCGGCGGCGGCTGCAGACGGCGCCACCAGCTACAGCGCCCCTGCCACTCCGACCCATGGCCAATCGCCCGCCAAACCGCCGCGCACCGGCATGTCGCGCTCGAGCACGGCCTCTCCCGTGCCGGCTGACGCGCTGGACGAGTCTGCCGCGATGGCCTTGGACAGCCGCGAGCTTGCTGCAGGTCTTCGCAAGTCTGTCGCTCGAAGCAAGGCGACGGAAGAGTCCGAGAACGAAGACGCAGCGGAGGAGGATGCCGAGGACGGCCAGGACGAGGACGAGGACGACAACCAGGAAGACGAAGAAGACGAGCAAGAAGACGAAGAAGCAGGCGAAGACGACGAGGAAAAGGCAGCCGAGGACGACGAAGAAGACGGCGGCGGCGTTCGCAAACGCAGCCGGCTTGCCTACGAAGACGATGAGCGCGATCTCGACTTTGGCTCGGGCAGGCGACCCCGCTCTGCGCGTCGTGCCGCCTCGTTGCTCGCAGCCGCCATGGCTGCCGGAGCGTCCCAAGGCACCGACAGCGCCGAGGAGGCCGAAGACGGCGGCTCGGCCTCTGCCACGCCAAGCAACAAGGACCGCTCTGGGCCATACCGTCACGGTGTGAAGGCTGCGCCATTCACGCTTCAAAAGCTGTCCGTCACCCTGCCCGAAGAAATGGTCAACCAGATTGCCCTGCTCAACTCGCAGCTGAGCGAGTTCATCTCGCCCGTCGGCGACCAGTCGGCTCTCAAGGCCCGCAACCCGGACAAGATTGGGTGCATTTTGGCCATCTTCGACGCGCTGACCGAAGAAGAAAAGCTCGAGTACGCCAACGCCCAGTGGTGGCGGACGAGCGACGCGTACTTTAAGCACCACCAAATCGCAACGCAGCCGTCCAAGTACCTGCAGTCGTACTCCAAGACACACCGCCATCTGATGGACTTGTGGATGCAAAAGTACTTTGGCGACTGCAGCGTCAAACTTGCCTTCCTGCGCGTCTTTGACGTTGCCAAGCGGGTGTACGACACCAAGTATGCGCGTTCTTAGGTTGATCTTGTTTCTGCTTTCTTTTCTTTTCGTTTTTCTCTTTTCTCTTTTCTCTTCTTTGTTTCGTGGACTGGCTTCTGCGTTTTCTTGTTATGGATGAAATGGTGACTGAGCGAGCCACTCGGCTTGTTCGGTTCAAGCGTTGTGATGATTTTTGGAATCTTGTACTTGTAGGGTTGTGCCTTGTGCTTGTGGTGAGATGGTGAAATGAAAATGGTGGAGGCAGCCACACTGTCGTTCCACCGCTTTCTTTCTGTCTCACTCTCTCTGGCTGTTCTATTGCGTTGTTTGAATTTGGCTTTGGTTGTGGATGTTTCACTGTTCAAAAAATGAAACTCTTTTGCATCAAAGTGGCTGGCTGAGCATTGAACTTTAGAATCCAAGTCGAAACTCTCGCTCTTAGATTTGAGTCAATTTTTTTTTTTATCCTCCAGTTCTTATTCTTTGTATTTTCTTGTTTCTTAGTTTCTCATGATGGAAGTCGATCACCAGCAGCAGCAGCAGCAGCAGCAGCAGCAGCAATCGAGCATCCCACCGAGCCAGACGCTCTACGTGAACAATCTCAACGAGAAGCTCAAGAAGGAAGGTAAAACGAGTGGAGCGTTTCGTCATAGTAACATCATGATGAAGGGGGCATTGAGCATTGAAGCATTGAAGCATTGAAGCATTGAAGCATTGAAGCATTGAGAGATCGTTGCTTTGGCGTCGTGCTGCAGTAGAGCCGAGGCTTCAGGTCCCTCAGTCCTCCAGTCATCAGTCCTCCAGTCTTCAGTCTTCAGTCGCTCTGTTGTTGTTGTTGACACTGCTTGATCTGTGTGTCTGTCTGTGCGATGGAGTGAGGCGGGGGGAGTGAGGCAGGGGGAGTGAGTTCGATCCATTGTACTGCCGTGTCTGTGCTCTCTGGGGGCTTCCCGTCTCAGTCTCAGTCTCGGTCTCATTGATAGCACTGCTTTTAACAGGCTTGCTTCTCATGATTCGCGCAGTGCGATGGTTGGACGAGGGGGGGGGGCGCTGGAGCCTTTGATCTCACTCTCACTCTCATTCACTCTGTCTCACTTCCCCCCTGTGTCAATACCAGAGCTCCGCGCTGCGCTGTATACAATCTTCACCCAGTTCGGCCCCGTCCTCGACATTGTCGCGCTCAAGACGCTCAAGATGCGCGGACAGGCGTTCATTGTCTTCCACGATATCACAAGCTCAGCCAACGCACTCCGCTCGCTCCAAGGATTCAGCTTTTACGGAAAGCCGATGGTAAGCGAACAAACGAACGAGCGAACGGACGAACCAAGCTTGAATCGTTCATCAATCCTTGGTCTCTAACGTCAACCCCGAAAAAACAGAGAATCACATTCGCCAAGTCCCGATCATACGCCGTTGGCCGATTCAACGGAGAGCCAGACTCGCACGTCCGTCGCCCATTCATCCCCAAAAACCAGCGGCCGAAGGGCGAGAAGCAGCCCGGCAAGCGCAACCCGAACGGCGCAGCCGCTGCATCGTCCAACGGCGACGCGCAGGCCATGAACACTGAGGCGCCCGCCGCCGCAGGAAACCACGCCCCGATGCTCCAGCAACAGCAGCCAGGGTTTGGCTTCAGCCAAGGTAGGCTGATCTTTTCGGTCGCGGTTTGCTTTGCTTTGGTTTGCTTTGGATTGAGCTTTCGGCTCATTTGTGTTTGTTGGATGCTTGTTCTGTGTGTCCTGTCCCCCTTGTGATGCCAGCACCCGAGATCCCACACAACATCTTGTTTGTGCAAAACCTGCCCCAAGGAATCACGCAAGACGACATTTTCAACCTTTTCCGAGGGTATACCGCTGGCTCGTGCGACGTCCGCCTTGTGCCAAACCGCGCAGATATTGCCTTCGTCGAGTACGAGAACGAAGGTATTGCTGCCAACGCAAAGGCAACACTGCACGGTTACAAGATGGGCGACAACAACCTGAGCGTCACATTCTCCAAGAAGTAAAAAGCGTTTTCCATCGTGTGTGCGCACGTTGTTTTTGTTGTTGTTTTTGCGCGTCATTTTTAGTAATGTGTATGTGTTGTGAACATGCCTCTTGTGTTTGCGTGCTTTGTTTGTCGTTTTCAATAACACTAAAAAGTTCTAGTTTGATTGTTTTGAGCTTTGGGGTTTTTTCGTTTTCGTTTTCTTCTTGTTTTTTGTTCTTTTACTAGCATTTCACAAATCACACGACAAAAGACCACCAATGAACAAGCAAATTTACGCGAGAATTCCGGGAATAAGATGTGCATGCAGCAACACACTGCCTGACAACGTTAGACAAGCAGAACGGCGTTGATGCAGCCATCGTTCTCGGGATTGTTTGTAACTTGGGCGTACTTGCCCCAGACAACCTTGCCGTTTTGTGTGACAAGACCGAGCTCGCTGACATTAACTTCAATGATGGTACCCTAAAAGAGAAAACGAAGACAATCAAAGTTGTCAGCATACAACCAAACACAAAAACGCACTGCATCCCCGCGCACAAACAGCCCCAAAAACTCACCTTAGTGATAACGCCAAGTTGTGTGTAAAGGGGCGACTGCGGATTCTTCTTGACACCGACAATCGGGAGACAGAAAGTGGCACTAAGCTCGGGGTGTGTGACGTGCGCCTTCTTGAATCGAAGACCCATGGGTCGAATGAAACGCTCGTACTTTGGCGGCTTGCGGGTAAAGCCCTCGCCAACAAACGTTGCTTTGGTGACCATGCGCTTCCAGCCCTTAATCTTGCGCTTGCCAGTCTTGACCACTCGGAAGACCTCGCTCTCGCCGATACCGCGCACCTTCGGCAATGGCACATCCCACTTGCCTGCCTTCTCCTTTCGCTTTTGTTTGACCATGTTTGACAACACCTTGGCACGGGACTGGCCCTCGCGGTCGAGCAAGTACGCCGGCACGGCACCCTGCGGCACAGCCGAGTCGTCCTTTTGCTTGTTGGATCGCTCCTGGTGCATTTTGATTCTGCCATGATTTCAGACGCAAGCAAACGAGAGTCGTGTGTCAATGTCCGAGTGAGCTTGACCCATCCAATGACGCAGTAGTAGTTGTGAGAACACGGCGACATACGAACTTACGTCTTTTTCATTTCAATCTTCTCGGTGTGGCGCTTCTTGTTGTACAGCTTGGCCTTGAGACCAGTGACGTTCTGTGCATACTCGGAGCGATTGTGGCCTTCACGAGCCTCGCGCTTTCGCCTGTATGGGCAGTAGTTGAATGGAGGAGGGGGTCGTCATCAACAAACAGTGAGTTCCAGCCCTAGTCCTCTGTCTCTGCCTCTCTCCCGGTAGTCCAAGTTGAAGTTGAAGTGCTCCTTCTCATAGTGCCAAAGCAAGTCCCAGGAGAGAGGGAGAGAGAGACAGAGAGGGAGTGTGTCGCCGTTCTCAGCTTCCCGTTCCCGCCTCGCAGCCGCATCCCCGAATCCGCTTTCGAAGCAGCAGCAGCATTGCATTGCATTGCACGATTGCTCGTGTTTTCGCGGTTTGGAGTGGCAAAGTGGACAACAGTGGCAAGCTTACAAGCGCTCAAAGTGGTCCATGCGGTAGCCGTGACGCTTGCGCGCCTGCTCAATGTACTCGTTCTGCGGCTGTTGTGATGAAGAGGCACAGAACAGAGCAGAACGATTCGTCAGTGATCAGAATGTGCAGCAGTGTGGAGGGACAGCGATAGAGCGAGAGCGAGAGCGAGAGAGACAAGCGTAAGGGCGTCCTCGTGGGGCGAACGAGAAAAAAAGGGTAGCAAAAAAAAAAAAGCAAAAAGACCAGCGTAACAAACAAAAACCACGTAAAACGAAAACAATTCGGCATAGGAACTCGTCATTGCGTTTGCTTTTACCATTGCAAAATGAAAATACGACTGAAGGCAGAAGAAAAAAACAAAAAACCAGAGTGGCAAAAGGTGATGTCAAACAATGGGATGCAAAAGACGCGGAGGAGTTTGGCATGAGATGGGAAGGAGGGAGAGGAGGGGGAGGAGGGAAGACAAGTCCTCGTTGAATTCTGAGACTTCTGAGACTTCTCAGACTCTACGGCTCTTCTCCCAGCAACCAGACGCATGTCGGTCGATTTGATTCATGCATTGTTTTTGTTTTGTTTATTTGCTATCTGTTGTTGCTGGTTGGCTCACTCTTTGACTCCACTCAGACTCAGACTCTCACAATGCAAAGCGCATTCGCTCGTGGACAGCTCGAGAAATACGGCTGGAAGGAGTGAGTGTTGCGTCTCACTCTCCCTCTCATACTCTCACTCTCTCGTTGCGTCGATATCGCCAATGTGCCATCATGAGCGTCTCAGTTGGTCTGTGGGACGCTGAGGCTGGGCTGGCTCGCTTGTGCGTTGGTCGAAGAGCTCCATGTGGCGCACGCATGGTTTGACCGACGACCAGACCAGACCGACCAGACCACCACCCCTCCCAGAGCCAGCAGCATCACCACCAACAGCCAACATCACCAACCACGCAAGACGACAAGAAGGGTCATTGGAGCAAAGGGACAGGGGGCCAAAAGGTTCAAAACGGAGCACCACGAGCATCACTCACTGCACGCTGCCCTTTGCTCGCTATACAAAAACCATAGAGGCAGCGGACTGGGCGCCAGCATGTCGGGCATCCCAGACTACCTCAAGGTCGACCTCAAGCGCGACGCTCAGGGCGTAAGTCGGTTGGCCAGACGCTTCTGCTCTTGCTGCAATTGCCCAAGCCAAAAGCCGCAATGAACTGCCCGTGTTCTCAACCGGATACCGTCTGTTTGTTTGGGCAGATCGGGCACAAGGCAGATCTCTTTGGCTTTCACTGGTGGAACCATGTGTTCAACAGCGCAGCAAGCAAAATCGTGGTTGAAAGCGATGGCCTTGACAACGACGATGGCGAGGTAACTTGTTTTTCACTCTCTCAAGTTCGACTTGACTTGAATGTTCAACCGAGCCCCCCGGGGGGAGGGGTAAAGGGATGTTCCCTGGCCAAGAAACACTCCAACTATTGCCTGTTGACCTTCAAACTAACCGCTCTGCTGTTCGTTCGTTGACCAATTGCTCTCCTGCTCTCGCTCCCCGTCCCCCACCCATCGGCCATTCTCTATTCGGTGTGCTCTCACAGGTCAACGTCAAGCAGTCCACAACGGAGCGCACCATGGTGAGCGCCAAACGACCGACCTTGGTCAAATCGCGAGACACGTTTTACAGCGGGTTTGTCCGCGCCACCGAGGAGTACCGTAGCGATATCGAAATTATGATGCGCAAGCACATGGAGGCTGAGCAACGACGACGCGCGAGGCGAAAATTCCACCCCACCGACGCGCGGGACGTGGTGCGGGCGCCCAACATTTTCTACGTCAACATTGGAAGCCTGGCAAAGTTAAAGCGCGGCGCTGACGATAGCGACAGCAGTGATAGTGACAGCGACAGTGACAGCGACAGCGACAGTGACAGCGACAGTGACAGCGACAGCGACAGCAGCAGCAGTGACAGCGACGACGACCGCAACGAGCGCAAAATTGACACTCGGTCGCAAATGAACGATGACGACCTTCTCAAAGCTTGCGGCGGCCGCACCGCGCACAAAGCCGCACGGCATGGTCTTGGTCTGCACGGCAAGTTGACCCGTATTGAGGAGCAAGAGCGTGCGTTCGCTGAAAAGCTCGCAGCGCAACGTGCGGCAGCCAAAAGCGCCACCAGCTCGCCAGCATCCTCTGTGCCCGCCTCACCGCTGCCAAAGGCCACCACTCCGCAGAAGCGACGCAGTGATGAAGAACCGACACTTCCTGCCTCCAAAGCCAGCCGATTGCAATCAGACTCGGATGTCGCGAGCGCCAAGAGCAGCGCCGACCAGCAAGTGCCTCGAGACAAGTCGAGCGGCCCGACCGCCATGGACATTGACTCGCAGCTCGATGATTCCAGCTCGACGGCCAAGTCCAGCAAAAAGGACAAGGCCAGCAAAACGGACTCAAAGAGCAAGAAACTGCCGGCCGAAGTCGACATGAAGGCGGACAAGAAGCAAGACAAGAAGGACAAGAAGCAAGAAAAGCAGGAGAAAAAGGAAAAGCAGGAAAAGAAGGACAAGAAGGACAAAGACCGGTCCTCCAAGAAAGACAAGAAGGACAAGAAATGAAGCTTTGCTTTGACCGGTGGTTTGGAATACTGCTACAATAACTATTTTTTGCCAAAGTCGTCCAAAATGTCCAATGTATTGCGGTACTGCAGAATTCAAACAGAGTCTTGTTGCTGTCGAGTCCGCAGCACCAAAGTAACGGGTTTCGGCATCAGTACACGGCGCTGTTGTGAGGAAGGGGACTCATTTCCATGGTAGGGAGCCTGTTATAGTGGGACCCGCTCCGCCGCTGCAAGCAAATTCATTCAGTGTTTGTTTTGATTTTTGTTTGCTTGATGAGTTGCGAACTAAACCCTTCGTTTGAAACAGCAAAATGTGATAAAATCGTACCTTGGAACGAAGCCAGTATACGCCGTAGACAGAAATGCCACCGATAACCAGCACCGCAATGAGGATTGAGCCTGAAATGGAACCTGTGGAGGTAACGAAAAAAACCGTGCAACAAAGAGCGCGGTCAGCGTCACGGAACAACAGCATCCCATTTTCTGTCAAAAGGAGACAACTTGCCTTCGTCCTGCGAGGTCGGATCAGAGTTGTCCGGTGGATTGGACGCTGGTGTGGACACAACAGCGTGCGAGGGTCTGGCGGCAGGTGTGGTGGAGACTGCTGGCTTGGCAACAACAGTCACTAGCAGAGGCTGGATGTCGATCAGGAATGAACTCGACTTTTCGAAAATGTGAGCAGTGCCGAGGTGCGTTTTGACATGATCACCGCAAGCAATCTTGTAGTCGTCTGCAACTTTGAGTGTTTCGAAATCAAAGGTGACGAAGAAATCTTGAATGTCCCCCTTTGCAAAGATAATGTCTTTAGTGTCGCCGACACTGCAGGTAATGTTCTTCAAAGTTGGCTCGAAAATGCACCTGTCGTCCACCAGCGTTGATTTTGTCGAGCACTTCGTACAAGTCTTGGCGCTGGTGCATGTGTGACAGCCCATCGAGCAGTCTGGTGACATGCCACATCAAGAATCTCCCATAATTGTGAGCACACAAAAACACATCTACCGCCAACCTGAAGCAGCAGAAACAGGAACAACACTGAGACGCACCGAAACACGAATAAACGTCTGTTGAACCGATTTTGCCGCTAAACTGAGCGTCTGAGCATGTCATTTCGTCTGTTGCGTCGTTCAAAATAGATAAATGAGCTCTCGAAGGACACGAATAAGCGACCTCTCGTGCAAATTACCAAGCTTGGTGCATTTTCCGGCTTTAGCGTTCGCAGCTGACGCGAACGGGTGCTCCTCAGCACTGTCACAAGTGAGACAATCATTGTCTGAGGAGCCAGTGCAGGTTGTACAACTCTCATGGCAAGCTAAAGAGAGCAAAACACACACAAAAAAAAGGATGAGAACATGAACGGCGATGAATAGACGCCGCCGCACAAAAGTTACTCACCGACACACAGATGAGTAGAAGAGTCGCCACTTGTCGAGGGACATTCAGGCACACAAAGTTGAGTCGATGGGTCGCCAAACGGAGCATCTTTTGGGCACTTGTCTGGTTCGACACAAGCAAGGTTTGTCAAATCGCCAAATGCACCCGAGCACTTTGCAGTACACATGTGCGTCTTGGAGTCACCGAACTTGTTGTCATCTGAACACTTCTTGGCGGCGACGCAGAGATGCGTCAATGGGTCGCCAAACGGAGCATTTTTTGGGCACTTGTCTGGTTGAACACACAGGTTTGTCGTATCGCCAAAGCTGCCAGAGGAGCACTTTGCAGTGCACAGGCGCGTCTCGGAGTCACCGTACTTGTTGGCATCTGAACACTCCTTGGCGGCGACGCAGAGATGTGTCGAAGAGTCGCCGAATGGTGTCGTAGTGGAACAGTCAACGGCAGCCACGCAAAGCTGCGTCTCGGAGTCACCAAACTCAGTGGTTGAGGAGCAGTTAACGGCAGCCACGCAGAGATGTGTCAATGAGTCGCCAAATGGTGTCGCAGTAGAACAGTTAACGGCAGCCACGCAGAGTTGCGTCGATAGGTCACCAAATGGCGCAGCCTCTGGGCACTTGTCTGGTTTGACACAAAGGTGTGTCAAATCGCCAAAGCTGCCAGAGGAGCACTTTTCAGCGCACAGGTGCGTCTCGGAGTCACCGTACTTGTTGGCATCTGAACACTCCTTGGCGGCGACGCAGAGATGTGTCGTTGGGTCGCCGAATGGTGTCGTAGTGGAACAGCCAACGGCAGCCACGCAGAGTTGCGTCGTTGGGTCACCAAACGGAGCATCATCTGGGCACTTGTCTGGTTTGACACAAACATTTGTCGGATCGCCAAAAGTACCCGAGGAGCACTTTTCAGCACACAGGTGCGTCTCGGAGTCACCAAACTTGGTGGTCGAGGAACAGTGAACGACAGTCACGCAGAGTTGCGTCGTTGGGTCACCAAACGGAGCATCATCTGGGCACTTGTCTGGTTTGACACAAACATTTGTCGGATCGCCAAAAGTACCCGAGGAGCACTTTTCAGCACACAGGTGCGTCTCGGAGTCACCAAACTTGGTGGTCGAGGAACAGTGAACGACAGTCACGCAGAGTTGCGTCGATAGGTCACCAAAAGGCGCAGCCTCTGGGCACTTGTCTGGTTTGACACACAGGTTTGTCGGATCGCCAAAGCTGCCAGAGGAGCACTGTGCGGTGCACAGGTGCGTTTCGGAGTCACCGAACTGCGTTCTCTTGGGGCATTCATTTACAGCCACGCAGAACTTCTTCGCAGTACTGCCAAATGGTTGCGCAGGTGGACATTCGCTGGCTGGGACACATTCGTTTCGTTCGTCGTCGACAAACGTTTGCGCGGGGCAGTCGTCCACGCAGGTGTTCGTTGACGGATCGCCATAATCGGGGCAATCTTTCACAGCGACACATTTGAAGCCGGGCTCGGTCTCGGTCTTGGTCTTGGTCTCGGTTTTGGAATAGTAGGGCGAGTCTTTGGGGCAGCACTGATGGTGACTATTGGACTGAACGTAGTCTGGATCGCATTGGTCGCAGAGCGTTGTGTCAGCGGTATTGGGCGTCTGGCAATTCTCAATAGCGGTAGCAGTGTGTGACAGTGGCGACAGGCAGGCGAGCAGGAGAAGCAGAAGGACGGGCAATGGCGCTCGCAGGAGCATCGTTGGATGTATGCGTGGCAGAATGAAGGAGGCAAAGGGGAGGGGGGAACTTGGTGACTGTGGGAAGAGAGAGTGTGTGTGTGAGAAAGGAACAAGAGAAGGGAAGAGTGAGAGAGAGTGAGAGAGAGAGAAGGGTGGGAGGGAAGAGTGAGAGAGAGAATGGGGGAACAAAGAGCAAAGTGGTGACGAAGAATCACAAAAAGCAAAGAGGAGGGACTGGTAATGGGACAGTTCGATCAATCGTCATGGACATATCAAACAGAGAAAACAGTGAGACATGAGCTTGTAAGCATGAATGTGGCATGAAACGTCTACTCGTAGCACATCTCTCAGTTTATTGTTATTTTCTTTTTTATTTTGTTTGTTGACTTTTTTTTTATTGTTTTCCTAAATGGTTAAGAAGGGCGGTACCCTCGGCTGCTCCTGCTCCGACTCGTACTCCTGTGCGCGGTACAAGAGCAACCAAGCCAAAGACTGGTGGCGGCATCAGTAGCACCGACGCAGTGGAAGACGATCGTGTAGTCGCGCCAATGGAGGCCGATCCACCCAAACCCAAGCGAGGCTGCTGCCCGTGCTGCTGCCACTGCTGTCACTGCTGCCAGTGATGTTACTCCATGGTCGACGCGCATGTTCATTTTGCGGCTTGTCTGTCGCTCTGTTTCGTTTTCACACACAATTCAGTCTATTGTTTGTTTTGTTTTCAATTTTGCCAATTGCAAAGTCATCCAAATAATGCAGACGCGTAAGGCAAAAACACCCACTCAGGCCGGACGCGCCGAGCTGGAGCAGTCCATTGACGACGACGCGAATGATGATTGCGTCTGAGCATTGCCAAGACCAGAAGCGTAAAAGGCGGTGATGGGCGGGACGGGACGTTGGGGGGGGGCCAATTCTCAGCGACTGCGGCACAATTCGACGCGATGACTGAGTGACTGATGAGTGACTGATGAGTGAAACGAGTGAATGAAGGACAGACGCTGACGGGGAGACAGAACGCGGTGAATGAGATTGCCGGGCAGCGAACTCTTTGGCATTGGGAACTCGCTCGATGGCTGACTGAACGACTTGGGGGGTTTGATGATGTGGCTCACTCTCGTGTGTGGGGGTTTGTGTGTGATTGATGCATCCATCTCCCTTTGGCTTTTCGAGCAGCACCTCCATCTGCATCGCCGCAGGTCGCTGGGGCGGGCATTGTTGGGCACAGTCGACTCGCAGCGATTCCCGAGACGCCACAGGCGCATGCAACACCACTGCACCAGCACCATCAGCACCATCAGCACCATCAGCAGCAGCATGCGAGCAAGGTCGAGGGTGACAGCAGCGGCGGCGACGACGACGACCAGGACGACAGCCACGACCAGGACGACAGCGCGTCGGTCGAATTCGAATCGCACAACAACTACAACAACAGCGGCACCAGCGGCACCAGCAGCAGCAGCACTTCGCTCGCCACACCAGACAAGGGCAAGAAGAAGAAGAAGCGATCCATCCTTGCCAAGCTCATTGCCGTGGGCAAGCGACGCACACACCCGGCAACGACCTCGGCCGCGTCAACCACACCCACCACCCCGACTATGACGACGACGACGACGACGACGCCTGGCACGTTGACGGAAGGACCTGCCACTCACCAAGACCCAGTGTTCTTCCATGCAGCTGCACAAGACGCCGTCGTGGCTGTGGTGGCAGAGTCCGTCGCTGCTCCGTCGAGACTGCCTCACAATGGAAGCGAATCCGTGCATGACGAATTTCTGAGCAGCTCGGAATCAAGCTCGATTGGCTCCATTAGTCCCCGGACGTCCATGCACAATCGTTCGAGCCAAGTGCACTACCAGCAGCACCAGATTCAAAGCCAGACCATCGCCGTCACTGCCGCATCGCTTGACATGCTCGTACCTCCTGCTGCAACGGCTACCACAACAACAACAACGACGACAACGACCACCACCACCACGAGCTCATCTACTACGACCGCGACTGCAAGCGGTCACACTGCGACGACTGCAAATGGGGTGACACCTAGCTCGTTGCACTCCACGTCCAGAATCGGCCAGTTTTTGCGCGGCATTTCTGGCACCAGTGGCGTTCCTCATGCAGATCGCAATGAAGAAGATGTAGGCTCTGATGCTCAACACACTTGACTAGAAAAGTTGGACAAACTCTTGGCATCGTTTGACTGACCCAACTCTCGCTTGTGATAGATTGCAAAACGGGCAAGCCGTCTCGACTCGCAGTCTGTGAAAAGCACGCCAAGCACACCCAAATTTGGATCGATAGCTCTCGATCGATGCGAGCACAACTTCAAGTCGCGCCACGCCAAGGTACGCGTGGACGACCGTCACTGATTCACTGTTTGTTTGTTTGTTGTTTTTGTGTTGTTTTTTTTCTCACCGACAGCTTTGAATTTTGTAGACTGTCCCGCCATTGACCCTCGATGGCACCCCGGCACTCGCAGACATTCGGTATGACAGGCTGGAGATTGTGCTCCTCGAGGGACGTAACCTTGCCATCCGTGACCGCAACGGTAAAATTCTGCACGCTGCATTCTCGTTGAGCGGCTTGAGTCGCATCCCTTAAACTTGTGTCTGACGCTCATGGTCGGATACGCGAAAACTAACAGGTTTGTCCGACCCGTACTGCCGATTCCGCCTGGGCAAGGAGCATTTCAAGTCGCGAACCATCCACAAAAATCTCAACCCGCGTTGGGATGAAAAGTTTGTGCTCCCCGTTGAAGACGTCCATACGAGTCTGCACATTTCCGTGTTTGATCACGACTACACTGGCAGCGATGACCCGATGGGCGTGGCAGTGCTTGATGTTGCGTCTCTTGTTGGCCTTGCCGAGCCAAAGCACTGGAATGCAGTCCTTCAGGATGTCGAGTGCGGGGAGCTCGTCCTTAAACTGCGTCTCATTCCAAAGCGCGAGGACGCTGCTACGTTGTTTTCTTTGGTATGGGCAAGTCGACAACGTGCATAAACCTGTTGGTGTACCAACGGGCTGACTTTTTTTTCGAATTTCGCTGGGTTTTTTTTTCTTTTTGCTCCAGACCAAGCGCGGCCGGCGTGCCACACCCAAAGCCCCCAAAAATCAAGCGCAGGCAACAATGAGGAGCGGGTCTCTTGCAATTACTCTCCTGGAAGGTCGGAATCTCGTTGTTCGCAACTACTCGTCTGGTAAAGCAGGATTGATGAAGGGTTTGAAGGGCCCCAGTATGTCGTGACTCAATCCCTTTCCGCTTGCTGTGTGGGTTTTGCGCTTTTGCATCCCCGTCGTGCTTCTCTTCGATTCCAACGCACAAAGAATCATCCGATCCCTACGTCAAGTTCAAGCTGGGTCGCCAAAAGTATCGGTCCAGTGTCGTTACCAAAACCCTCAATCCCAAGTGGCTCGAGCAAATGGAAATGGCTGTAGCGGACGAGGCGCAGGTGTTGCAGCTCCGTTTGTTTGACAAGGACTTTGCCAACAAGGACTCGCCGATGGGCTGGTGCGAAATTCCGCTCGATTCCCTGGCCCCCGGTCGCACGGAGGATGTCTGGATTTCCCTCAAAGATGTCGAGCATGGTGAATTACATCTGCTTCTCACATTAGTTTGGGACAACTCCCAAGGCGATGCCATTGACAAGATGAAGGCAAGTGTTTTTTTTTTTTTGTTTGTTTGTTTTTTTTTTTACTTCGGAGCGGTGACTTTTTGTTGTTGTTGGTTGCTTGCTTGTCCCCGATCCCTGATCTCACGAATCGCTGTGCGATCGAGTAGTGGCAAGACCTCTCTCTCAAAAAGCTGGTTGGATGTTTGACTGTGAACGGTAGGTTGTGCTCGGCTGATGCTTGCACTTGCAGATGCTAATTTGTTTTTTGTTCGGTTTGCTTAATGTTCTTCCAGTGATGAAGGCCGAGGGTTTGGTGGCAGCTGATGTTGGTGGTACGTTGGACGCTTGCTGCAATTTGAGACGGTGGTGAACGAGCCAAAAGCTGTACCACCCTCACCGATCGTGCATTTGCTTGTCGGCAGGCACAAGTGACCCCTACGCCGTTCTCGAGCTGGGAAACCAACGTCTGAAAACCAATACTATATTCAAGACTCTCAATCCCATTTGGAACCGTGAATTTGTTTTGTGCGTATTTGACGAGCGCTTCTAGCTTGCCGTGGAGCGGTCGATCGGTTGACTGATGTTTGATCTGGTCTTATTTTGCGGTGTTCATCCGGTTCTGCAGCGACGTGCGCGACGTTCACTCGGTTTTGGACGTCTCTGTCTTTGACGAGGACAAGGGCGGCAAGAGCGATTTTCTCGGTCGCGTGGTGATTCCTTTGCTCAACATTCGGCCCGGACCTCAGGTATGCGTTTAGGATGAAACACGAGCTTTGTGCGTTGACGGGCTGCCGAAAATTGACCTGATTGTTTGCCCCGAGCGCAGCAATACCTACTGAAGAACGAAAGACTGCTGGATCGTACGAAAGGCAGTATAACATTGGAGCTCCATCTCGACTACCACTTGGTACGAGCTGCGCTGGACAAGCGGGCGCGATTTTGCGTACGTTTTCATTGTCTCTGATGAGAATGTTTGTATCGCATTTTTTTTTGGTCCACTCCAGATCAAAGCTGCGCTCCAAACGATTGAACCAAAGGAACAGCGCTATTTGGACACGGAAGCCAAGTTTAAGATTGCTCTGCTGATGCTGAACGTCAAGAGAGTGCGACGAGTCATTGTCAGCATCACGGACTTTCTGGGGTACATCAAGAGCGTGTTTGAGTGGGAGCACCCCATGCGCAGTGCCTTTTCCTTCTGTGTAAGTGTCACTGGTTGAGCATGATGATGAGCGCCAAGGGCGAGTCATAACTCTGTCTCCTCACCTTCATCGCAAACTTTTTAATTTCTTGGTTTTGTTTTTTGGTTGGTGTTTTGGTTTGATTTTTCGGCTTTTTGACCTTCCATTACAGTTCTACATTTACATGTGCCTGTACTTTCAAGTATGGATGCTCCCAGTCTTCTTGCTGGCCACCTTCGGGTACCAGTACATGTCGTTCCGGATTTACGGACCGACTCAACCGGACAATCTGCTCGATTTCGCTGAAAACGACACCGATGACGATGTGGACGATGACGACGACACGCCTGGCGGCAAAGGCAGGAAGCGTAAAGAGCCTGCTGCTACCAGCCTGCGCGCGCGCATCAAGGCGATTGAGAAAATTACCCAAACCGTCCAAAATGTTCTTGGAAGCGTGGCGTCCACGGGAGAGCGTGTGAAAAAGTCAGTACTCGTTGTTTGGTCGTTTCGAAATGAGTTTTTTTGTTGACTGGCTGAGTGACTCATTTCATTTCGTGCGTTGTTGGTTTGGTTGGATTTCGCCATCGCAGCCTTTTCAACTGGAATGTGCCGTTTGTGGCGGCACTCTGCGTTTCTGCCCTGCTGGTAGTGACGATCGTGCTGTACATTGTTCCATTGCGCTGGCTTCTGCTCGTTGCCGGTGCGTAGTTAGGCCAAATTTGCTGGTTGTTCGAGCAGTGGTTTTCGTTTGGGGGTTTGTTTTTTCCCGACTTCTCACCACTCTCCACCCCACCCCGCGGACGACCTTGCAACAGGCATCAACAAGTTTACCAAAAAGTTCCGCAAGCCTCCAGGCTACGTCGGTAACAACGAAATTGCAGACCTGCTCTCGCGCCTGCCGTCCGACTTTGAGCTCGTGCAACGCATGGAACTCAAGAATCCGCCCATCTCCAACGCTGTTGTGCTTCCTGCCGTGGCTCAGGCCAGTGGAAGTGGGCCCAGCGCAAGCCCAATCGGTGCGAACGGCTCCAAAAGCGATCGCAACTCGAAAAAGTTGTGAGAATCCGTTGGGACTGGTTGTTGGGGAGGGGGTTTTCTCCTTCCTGCGACCACTTTTTGGTCGATGTTGCTTGTCATGTTGTCCGTTGTCTTTGCATTTGGTTGATGTGGTTGGTGTTTCACGCGAAGCGCTGATGAAAAAGAAGATTTCGTTGTTGGATCAAACATACTCGATCTACAGTTTTGAGTTCCTTCTTGCCGCTTCGTACTGTATTACATGACTTTTTGGTCGCTCGTCCAGTCTTGATTTTTTTTTTTCCTTCCGACAGTACAGTACAGCACTAGCAATGACCAAGAAGTTGCTTGGCGTCGGGATTGTGACGCTGGACATTATCAACCACGTCGAGCACTACCCTGCCGAGGACGAGGCGCTGCGGGCCACGCGCTCCCGCCGAGCCCGCGGTGGCAACGCAGCCAACACGCTTGCCGTCCTTGGCGGCGTCCTCGGCGTCAAAACCTGCCTCGTCTCGACGCTCGCGCCCGGTCCCGACGCAAAGTACGTTCGCAGCAGCAAGTGTCGTTTTCGTTCTGACCAACCACCCCATGCCCATCGCCCACCCTTTATCCCGTCGCTTGCACAGCACGTTGGTTGGCATTCGACGTGCGGCGTCTGATGAAGCGACGCGTTGTGCGGGAGGGAGAAGCGCGGGGCGCGTTTTGGGCGAGTTGGATGGACGCAGATTGAAAAATTGAAAGGAGAAAAATTTAGCACTTATTAGTGAGAAACGCGTAACTGGAAAATCAGCCCTTTGAAGCAATAATTTGAGCTTATCAACCCATTACTAAAGCGAAACAGCAATCCCTACCCCCCTCTCTGAAAAATCTCGCTCTGAAAATCTCACCTCACTTTGCGTGCTTCCCGCTTACCTGCAAAACAGCTTTGTGCTGCACGACCTGCATGCGTGCCATGTCGACACAAGCCATTGCCGAATGTACCCCGGCTGCTCCCTGCCGACCTCGTACATTACGCTGAATGACGCGAACGGCAGCCGCACAATTGTGCACTGGCGCGATCTGCCCGAGCTCACTGCTGCCACGGACGTCGTCTCGCACATCGATCTCGACGACTACGACTGGGTGCACTTTGAAGGCCGCAACGTCGAACAGGTGAGTCCAAGTCTCGCTGCCAAAGTCGATTTTGGCTCTCTTGGAGTTTAGTTTCTCACCCTTCTCACAACAAACCGACCAACGAATGTCGCGGCGTGCTTCAGACTACCATCATGATGGCTTGGATTCACGCATACAACGAGAAGCACATCAACAAGCGCCCACCAATCAAAATCTCGCTCGAGGTCGAGCGCGCCAAGCTTGTCAACTACGAGTCCTTGTTGGTCTATGCAGACGTGGTATGTTGACCGCTTTGGTTGTTTGATGAAATCCGGCTTTTGAGTGTGTGGTGTTGTACTGTATTGTGGCATTCGTATTGCTCACGATACACGCCGCTCCACGTTTCTCCTCGTTTATTTCAGGTATTCTTCTCAAAGGAGTTTGCCGAGTCGCGCGAGTGCTCGAGTGCTCTCGAGTTGCTCGAGCTGATGCGGCTCAAGAACGAAAAGCGGTAAGGCTGGGGATGCGATGAGGCATGCGGCTGTCTGTCCATTCTTGCCAACTCACCAAAACTTCCGTTTTTCCCTCTCTCTCGCATCACCCTCGCGCAGATCTGCTCTCATTTGCGGATGGGGCGAGAAAGGTGCATGCGCTCTCGATGAGGCGGATAATGTGTTCAACTGCCCCGCATTTGAACCTGTAAAGGTTGTGGACACGATTGGCGCAGGCGACACGTTTGTTGCTGGTGTTATTCATGCAATGCGCTCTGGCAAGCCATTGGATAAGGCGTTGCGGTTTGGCTGCCGACTGGCTGGCGCCAAATGCGGGATAGAAGGCTTCCGTATTGAGCACTTTGACGCGTCGTTTGACGCGTGATGATCTGCGCAGTGATTCACTTGTCAACTACGTCGTTGCGTTGGTTCGAGTGCCGCTGTTGTTGCTCGTCGAGTCGCACGCATACCTTGTTACGTGATTTTTTTGTGTGCTCTGTTTTTGTCGTTGTCACAGAAAAAACAAGACAAAACGAAAAAAAAAAAAAATCAAAACATCAAAAATCAAAAATGTATTTAACAAAGCGCATTTTCTTGTGTTTGGTTGGTCAACGACAGCATCAACCAGGAGCGAACGGCAACAACCAACAAAAACAAAGAAGGGAAGAGAAGGGAAAGGATAAAAGGCGCTCGTGAGCATCAATTTGCCCAAGGATCGCTGTAAGAGTTGTTTTGTTTTTTTGTTTTTTGTGTGCTTTATATGTGATTATGGGCAAAAAAGATGGCTGAACGAGTACAAACAAGCGGGGTGAAAAACAAAAACAACCCTCCTTAGAGATCCTTGAGCTGGGCTTGAATCTCCTCGAGCTCGGCCTGGCACTTGGCGTGTGCAGCCTTCTCGCGGTCGTAAGCGTCGTCGATCTTCTCGAGTTGGTTCTCAAGATCGCGGATCTTGCGCTCAGCAGCCTCAGCGCGGAGGTCAGCAGAGCGGTACTTGTCCTCGACTTGCTTGAGCTTGTCCTGGAGCTCGTCCGAGCGGTCAAATCGGTCGGAAACCTTGACCGACTTGAGCGAGGCGTTGGCGTCGTCGAGGCTGCGCTCGAGGTCCTTCAGCTTCTTCTCGGCGGCAATGGCGCGGTCCTCGGCGCGCTCGAGGTCGTTCTCGAGCAGCGTGACCTTGCGGTTTGCGTTGGCAGCGTCCTTCTCGAGGTCGTCGGCCTTCTTGCGGGCAGCGTTGACCTGAGCCTGGAGAGTCTCAACACGGTCGTCGTCAGAGCTCTGTTGAGACTCAAAGACGCGGCGCGAGCGCTCAGACTCCTCAGCGCGCTTCTCGGCCTCGCCGCAACGCTTCTGGAAGTCGGCAGCGCGGGACTCGGCGGTCTCGAGGTCGTCCTCGATCAGGCGCATCTTGCGGGTGGCAGCCTCAGCCTGAGACTCGGCCTGTGTGGTTTTTTTGTTTGGGGGATGAGTGAAGGGATGAGTAAAGGGGTTGATTTTCGCGAAAAAATTCTCACAAACAAATGCATACCTTGTCGGCACGCTCGCGGGCGTCCTTGAGCTCGACTTCAAGCTGCTGTGCGCGCTCGAGGTTGGCGTCGGCCTCCTCGCGGATCTGAGCCATCTTCTTCTTGATCGCGTCCATTGTGAATGTCTAGAATTTGGGTTTTTTTAACGTCTGGACAACCGCAAGATACAACGGCGCAAAGTGAGTGTGTTGCCAATACAAGGACGAGAAGGCCATGCACATGCCGCATAGCAGAACAGCAGAACATGAACGAGCCAAGAAAGAGCGATCGATCAACAACTGCCAAAAACAGGCGATCAACACAGATCGCGAAGGTCGAAAATGGGGAAAACCAAAAAAAAAAAAAAAAAAAAAAAAATTGACAGATATCATCAAAAGAAGGAGAAATCGGATGTGCAATGGTCTACGTCAACAACAGCTCGTGCAATGACGATCGTGACCATCGAGAAGGCAGAAGACAGCATGAAGGAACGGCGAAACTCGCAAATGGGCATCCGAGAAAGACCGACACTCGCGAGATCTAAACCACCAGCGAAAAATAAAAAATAAAAAAATAAAAAGAATCCTGACAACAAGGCAACAAGAGAAAAAAAAAGAGAAAAAAAAAAACAGCAAGATTTGACACACTGCTCATCATCGACCTCCACGCTCCAGTCATCTGCCAGTCAGTCACCCCTTGCCACAGAACAGATGTCCTGACTGGTCGATGCTGAAGAGAGCACCGATGGAGAGACAAAGCATTGCGGACGAATTTCGCAGCGAAATCGAGCAAGCAAAAAAAAAAAAAAAAAAAAACAAGATTCACAAAACAACAAACTGTTCAAAAAGGAAGGTTTTGAATGGCGAAATAAAAACTGGGTTTTTTGCGCTTGCTTTGTTTCAATGCAACGCAGTCGACGGGCCATTCCAAGCAAGCCAGTCGTGCATCGAGTGGGCGAGGGAGGGGGTGCAATCAGCATTGTGCATGGATGGAGCAAGGAAGGGAAGGGGGGACCGATCGCAAAAAAAAAAAAAAAAAAGTGCAAAATTCAAAAAAAAAAAAAAGTGCAAAATTCAAAAAAAAAAAAAAGGCATCAAAAATTTAAAAAGATCGCAGCAAAAAAATGATTGTCAAAAAGGCGATCGAGCGACAGACCAAACCAGCGCAACAAAGATCGCACTTTGACAAGAAGGCGAGTCTGTGACTGTGCGTGCAGGGTCAATGACCCGGAGGTCATCGCGCTGTGGGGATTGGAAGCGGAGGAGAAAGCGAGCACAACTCTCCAAAAAAAAAAAAAAAAAAAAAAAAAGCAAACTGAAGCAAAAAAGAAATTTCTGGTTTGGATTGCTGTTTGAGCAGCGTCATCGCACGCGCACCAAGCGATGGGGCAGCGAAGAGGGCGGCATTGGACGAGAGTGCAGATGAGCACCAGCATCCCACCGCAGCAGCAGCAGCAGCAGAAGCAGCAGCAGCACGAGGATTTCGCTTCAAAATCCCAGCGCGCAGAACAAGAAGCAAAAAAAAAAAAAAAAAAAAAAAGCGAAAAAATGCAAATACTTTGAAAAATACTAATAATAATAATTGGGATGAAAAAAAAAATCGTGAACCGCAAAACTCACACAAAAACAGAATGAGCTGCAAACGAAAAAGTGAAACGCAATGAAAGGAAATGAAACGAAATGAAACGAAATGAAATGCAAGGAAGGATTATAGGAAGGGAGAGGCGAAGGATCAACAGTAACATTAACAACAAAGAGAACGGATGGAACGAAACGAAACGAAAAAATGAAACGAACTGAAACGAAATGGAATGGGCAAACTACGGACTGGATCTCGTCATGTTGTCCCATCCCGCAGGATCCATTTCTCGCAAATGGCTCGCTTGCATGAAAAACACAGAGTGCGACGTGCGGGTACTGGTGTCCGAGGTCGCAAAGACGTACTTGACGCACTCCGGCAGCTGGCCTTGAGCAATGCCCGGTGTCTGGTACGCGATATCACAGTGGATGCCATACAGTTCGCATCTATTTTTGCTCCTTCGTTCTATTTCCACAGTGAGTGCTGTCTCTGTCGCTCAGTCCACTCTCATCCTCGTTCGGTTGTTCTGAGCTTTTCTGGGGTGTTTTTAGTTTGTTTTTTCTTGTGCCCCGCGCTCAGATCTCAGCGGTTGCCGCGGCTTTTGTTTCGCTTTTTTTTCTACCCAGCTTCTTCCCGCTTCGGTGCACTGTTTCTTTGGTTGGCGCTGGCTTGGAGGGGGTCGAGATGAGTGACCGGCTGGTTAGCAGAGTGACAGTGTGCGGTTTCCAGCTCGCTGCTGCCGCTGCTTCAGGCGAGGTATGCTCCACCCCATCACCCGTCACCGTCTCCCCTACAGACTCCATCCACATGCAGCGATGACTTGCTCAGTTCGAGCCTTGCGCTGTTCATGACCGCTCCAATTTTTAACATTCATTTCACTGCCTCCCTGCTCTACGTCCCATCTCACGTTGGCTTCTCCTTGGTTTGGTTGTCCCTGCTCTCTTTGCTGTTATTGCAGCCGCTGGTCCTTCGGCGCGATGCCCACGGACCAGACCTGCCCGCTGAATCTGCTGCTGCTGCTGCTGCTGCTGCTGCTGCGCGTACTGCGCCGCCAGTCACTCTGGCAACCCCGCCGACCGTCCTCGCTGCGTACCCACCGCCCTCGGAGGATAATCCACTCGATGAGGTAAAGCCCGTGTTGAGTGACGGCTGGTGTTCGTCCTCACCAAAAGTGACGCGATGTTCGCAAACACTGCTCGTTCGGTTTCGTTGTTTCGTTTGGAGGGGCGATCAACTTGAATTGGCGATCAAACTTGCATTTTTGGTCATCCAACTTACTTTTTGTTCGTCTCGTTCCTGGTTCCTGGAATCCAGGTGTCGGTCGCCATGTTCTGCTTCCCATCGGGATACCGGCCATTGCTGCGAGATGCCAAACTGCGCTCAGACCACGACGTCACCTCAGACTCGCCCCATTTCCATTCCTTCGTGCTGACTCAGGTGCGTGCGGTTTTTCGTTTGGTTTTGTTGTCTGGTGCAAGTGCTCGAGTCCTTGCACAAGGAACTGGGTCAACTTTTGACTCACACACTCGGAAACATTGATGTGCGCTTGAATGTACTCCGCTCCAAATGTTGCAGGAGGACGGCTTGCGGATGTACGGGTCGTGCCTCACGGTATTTCAAGACGTTGTCGATGTGCGCGTGCCCAAGCCTGGCAGCAGCACGGAAGAGCTCGTTCCTTCGACTGCATCGCTTCCCACCGTCATTTGCCTTTTGTCGCCAAACCCGTACATTTCGTCCCAGAAAGAGTACCTATTACAAATCATGGATGTGGCCAAGCGAGGGACGGCCTTCCCTCTCGAGGCCTATTTGTACAATATTGTAAGTTGCTTTTGCGAGTTCAAGACTTTGATTTCTCTCTCCCCCCCCCTCGTTCCCCTCTTCTCTCCCATTCACTCAATCGACGCATGTATCGCCTTTCTGCAGATTGTGGATGTTCCGAATCCCGTCCCAGGCACCTCGATTATCGTTAGCGCACCACGCCCGGTTGCGTTCGTGTGCCCGTCTCCCACTGAACTACCGCTGCTTGGGTTTTCAATGCGACAGCTTTTCAGTCGGCTGTCGGTGTCGAGTGTGATCAAATTGCTCAATGTAGGTCGCTGCCGCTTAATCCCCGTTGGTTGGTTGCCCCGCCGTTTGCTGACGGTTTCCTTTTCGCCTTTTTTTTTCTTCCTTTTTTTTTGCTTTTTGCATACCTTTGTCATTAGTGCGCCATGTTGGAACGGCGCATCATTGTGCGCTCCTCGGATGTAGAGCTGCTTACCATGACGCTCGAGTGCATTTCTGCCCTGATGTACCCGTTCGCGTGGCCTCACGTCTACGTGCCTGTCATGCCTCGCCAACTGCTCCACTTTCTTGAAGCTCCGGTTCCTTACATGATGGGAGTCCCGGCAGGTGAGCAGCACGCAGTACTTTACGCTTACTCTTTTTGTTTCCATCGCGTGCCGGAGATATGTGTTGGGTTGGTGTGCCTGTGTGCTCACTGCGTCCCGACTCTCCTTCTGCACACTCCCCCTCAGACGTCCTGCCTGACGACCAGTTGCCTTCTTTTGACGAGGTGACCTTTGTTGATCTGGATATGGGCGCCGTCTTTTGCCCTGACTGGCTGCCAGAGCTGCCCGATTTCCGCAAGCTGGTCGGCGCAGTGCAACGCCTTGTTGACTCGCCGTCGTCTACCGCAGCTGCTGCTGCGCCGCCTTTGGCTCTTGCTGCGGGCGAAACAGCTGGAGCGAGCGTTTCTGCAGACGGCACGCCAGTAAAGTCCCGTCGCAGCAACAGCAATCCTGCATTAGATGCGCCTCCACCTGGCAAGCCGCAGCTGCCCACGACGGACGCAACGTCATCTGCCAACCAGCTCGTTGCTCCGTCGTCAAACCGAAGGTCTCGCTCGTTCATTAATGCTGAGATGATGTCACAGGCGTCCAACGCACTGGTAGATCCGCAATCAGCGGTGAGTCTGGAATCCGGCATGCCAAGCGGCACATCGTCGCGTCGAAGCAGTTTTCTCTCTTTGGCGTCCCAATCTTCGGCAGGTCTCGTCCGTGTGACGACCCCAGACTCTGGTACACTACCGTTGGCCCAAGACGCCAAAGGCACGCCCAAACGGTCGTTGCCATTCAAGTCTGGCAGCGGGGAGGAGGACGATTTCGCGACTTCGGCCGTTCGCTGGGCAATCTTTGACTTTTGGGTCGTCCTCCTGCTCGAGCACGAATCCTTCTTGATTGGCAAGGGCAAGCGCGGCTGGCAACCGGACGACGTGAATGATGTCGACAAGTGCTTTGACAAGATTGCATTCATTTCAGACCAAAAGCCAGACGCTGCGCCTTTCCTGTCACACTTTCTCGACACGCAGAGCTTTGCCAACTTTTTGACTGCTAAACTCTCATTGCTGGTGCGCCAGAGACAAATCTCTGCTTTGATTGAGGAAATTCGTGCAGGGAACAACCACCAGTCCCCTGACACGCCAAGTCTAGAATCGCAGCTGCTTGCGCTACAGCGCCAACCTCGCGACGCTGGGGAACACGCGGTCGAAATGTTCAACGATCACTTGCAAACCAAGCGAAGCAGCTTGGGCTTTTTGCAGACCGCGTCCTTCCGCGCACATCGGGCGGCCAGCGTCGTCGCAAGCTTTGGGGCGAAATCCACCGACCACGTTTCCAAATCTGTGAGCGAGACTTGGTCGACCTTGCAGCGCGTGGGAGGTCTCCTTGGATCAGGCATGTCGGTGCCTGCTTCGAAAGCGAGCAACAGCCAGCGAAACTCCATTCTGCTCTCCGACCCGCCGGGGGCAACAAGCAATGGGCTGAGCGTGGCAAGTGCCGCGGTCGATCTCCAATCTACCGCCTCGGCGAATCCAACAACCGCCGCGTTGGCCTCCAGCGCGGCTGCATCTCTCCTCGTGTTTACGGCGCGCTCGCTGGCATCGATCGACTTTTCGCTGCTTCCCAAAGTCCCCGAGTACGCATCACCTTTGCAACGGTCCTTGTCCACCAACCGCAAGAATCCTGCCACTTTGTCTTTGGCCAGTGCTCAGGCCTCGCAAGACAAGTTGCGCGGCCGCAGCTTGTCTGTGCTGCCAAAGGCATCGACCGAAACAGAGTTTGCGGATGCCAGCCAGTCGGCCTTTGTAGACCATGCCATCCGCGAGTGTGAGCAAATTGTGCAGCGATTAATTGAGATCAGCGACGATGAGCGCGTGGCACGTCTCCATTTGCTCCACGGGCACCTTGCTGGCTCTGGCGTCTCGTCGGCACCAGACTCCATTCGCAGCCAAGCCATGTCACGACTTGCTAGCAACAGTCGCTTTGCGAACGATGTGGCTGCAAATGTTTCCGCCCAAGAAACCGACATGCGAATCACCAAGCTTTGCGAAATTATCGAGCACGTGTGGTCCCATGGTGTGCAGGTAAGAGAGATTCAGCTTTTAAAGGTTTTGGTGGGTTTCTGGGGGAGGGGTTGTTTTTTTTGTTTCGTTTTTTTTTTTTTTTTTTTTTTTTGTTTGTTTGTTTGTTTGGGGTTCTTTTGTTTTTGGAGGTGGGGTGGTTCCGCCAAACCCTCACCTTCTATACACTTGGCTTGTTGTTGCACAAACCCAACCCGCTGGCCGGCTGAATGCAGATGAATGAAGGCAAATCTGCCTTCTGGAGTTACATGTCGCAGTGTGACTTGCCCTCGGGCAGCGAAGCGGCAAAAAACCGCGATCGTGTTTTCAAAATCATGCTTAAAACCGATGTCGGATTTGGTCGCTGCTACATTCGGCTGGCCATCGAGAAACGTTCGCTCCGACATTGTTTGGAAACATGCCTGGCCGACGTGCGAACTATCAAGTAAGACATTTGGCCCCGACCACCCGCCCGTCTTGTTTCTTGTTTCTTCTTGTTGTTGTTCTTTTAATGGATCCTTCTTGACAAAAAACCATCGTTGCTGACCGATCTTTTGGACGGACAGACGCTTGTACAAGGATTACGCACTGGTTCTCTCGCCAGAATTTCTGTCACGCTTCCTCACAGCGCTGAACTTGCTGAACGGCACTGACATTGTCGCATTCACGTCGAAAAACTACGTCAACTGCGACACTGGCTACAGCCTGGTGCTGCACACAGCCGACAGCTTTCGCGCGGGGTCATCGGCCAACATTTTTGTTGGCATGCACGGCTCCAAGTCAAGCACTCCGCGCATCACCATTTCGGCTTCCAAAGCCTTTCAACGTGGGCGTGCTGATGAGTTTATTATTCAAGTGGCAGATTTGGGTATGTTGTCGTCGAGGTGCTTTTTTTTTCTGGGTGAACAATGCTAATCGAACTGTCGGGGTTTTTTTCGTGTTTTTTTGGTCCTTTTGAACTGCAGGCATCATCGAGGCAATCGTGGTCGGCCACGATAATACTGGGTTCCACCCCGGCTGGCTGCTCGATCGCGTGACGGTGGAACACTTGTGCACGGGGAAGATGTACCAGTTTGAGTGCCACCGCTGGCTCGCAACGGACGAGGACGATGGACAGATTGTCCGAACGCTGTTTGAACGCGGTCGCGCAGCCATCAACAATGCGCCGCATGTTGGGGAAGCATCGCCGTCTTCTTCCGCGAACGCTGCGCATGGCACACCAACGACGGTCGCCACCCCTGCCGGACCCGGCATCGCTTCCACCCCGCAGCAAGCCTTGTCGGCAAGCGTGCCTGCAGGCCTCCTTGTCACTCCGACCAAGCGACGCGTGTCCAATCCTCCCATCCCTCAGCTGCTCATCCCTCCAAGCTCTGGAAATGTCTCGCAGTCCCCAGCTCCACCCGTTGCCGCGTCTGGAAAACTGCCCAAGCTATTGCAGATTCGCAAAACTGGAGGGCATGTGCGCACACCTAGTGGCACTTTTCTGGGCATGTTTGGCAGCTCGTCTGGCGAGCCAGTGTTTCCTGCAGCGCCGACAGCGGCAGCAGTTGCAGGCACTCCCGCTGGCTCCACGGCACAGGCTGCCTCGACCTTGCAAGTTCCCTCCACAGGCGACTCCAATACGCATTCCGAGCACTCTGCCCCGGCATCCACCACCATCAGCAGCAGCAGCAACAACAGCAACAGCAACAGTACTTCATCACCCATGCCAGCCCCAATGGCGCGCTCCGGGTCGCTTCGCAAAATGCTCGTCTTCTCCTCCAAGCCGTCGTCTGGAGCGAGCACAAGCAGCAGCAGCAGCAGCACATTGCAGGACTCGGGCAGCCTGACGCCACTTCTGACTCCAGCCATCCCCGAAGAGCTGAGCCTGTCACTGTCCGAAGTCATGCGGGCGGTCGACCAAGTTTGCGGAGGCACACGCGTCATTCGCCAGCAAAAGCGCACCTCGCGGCTGGACTCGGACTCTGCTTCTTTGTCGCCACCGTCCCCGCTCTCGCTGCCCATCGCCGAAGACCAGCCCACCCCGTTGCCCTTGATTTCCTCGCCTCTCGCTCCAAACCCACACAGCCGGCTACGCTCAATTGAGCAGCTTGTGCGCAAGGACTTTGTGCGCGCGCTCCAGTCGGCTCTTTCGTGCGGCTTCAAGTCCGCTCGGCTTTTCGGCGCACCCTACACGCTGTGGAATTTCATTGAAAAGATTGAGCGCGCGCCCACGACTCCGCAGCTTTCCGCCGAGGACCAGGCGTCCCGTGAGATTGTGGCCGAGAAAATGTTCTTTGAGGCTGTCGAGTGGATTACTGCGAATGCTACGGGCGAGGAATCGGACGAGCATCCCTTGAAGGTTTGGGCCACCAACAAAAAAGAAGTTGAAGTTGTTGTTGTTGTTCAAAGGTTCTGACTCTCTGTGTTTTTTTTTTTGTTTTTGCTTTCTGTTTTGATTTTGATTTTGGTATGAACAGTTTGAAATGCTAGTTTGCACGGGACTTCGGTAAGCAGAGTGTGGCCGTTATGTGTTTTGGTCATGTTTCATTTTTTTGCAATCCAGGTGATCTGACGCGCTGTTTTCGTTGTTCTTTGTTTGGTTGTTTTGTGTTCGGTCTGCTCAGACATGGTGTTCTTGCAGCGTGGCTGCAAGTGATGGCTGGCAGCGCCACAGCTGCCAAGTGGTTTGACAAAGTGGCCTTCTTCCGGCGTCCAGAGGCGTTCAGCTCGCTCGTCCAGCAGGCAGCAGTGATTGATGCTCTGCGAGTGGATGCGCACCTTGCAGTGCCGCTGACGCTCGTGCTACCTCCATCCTCCACCACCTCCACCCCTCAAGGAAGCATCACCGACCTATCAGCGTTGCCCTGATGAAGTGGGTGTCAGTGTCAGTTTGACCTTTTTGTTGTTTTTTTTGCGAGCGAACGCGCTTCGAAACATTACACATTCACAAAGTTGACATTTTCATATCGTGCTTCACCATTCTACTCGCATGCATCTACTTTTAGTCACACGCTTGTTGCCCGATAGTTTTGTGATTTTCAGCAATGCTTCTTTTTTTCGTTCTTTCATGCATGAAACAGTCTTTCTTTTCATTCTTTGGTTTCTCCATTCGTTCTGTCCTTTTGGATTTTTTGTTCGAGCGCGTTGCATGGCTGCGCTTCCCGCCAACAACCTCGATCTCCAGCTCCGGCGCCTCGGCACCAGCAGCAGGAGCAACGCAGGCCGCGCTCCTGCAGCAACAGGGAGGACCGACGCGTCCGCAGCCCAGTCGATGCCTGCAACAACAAGGTCACCCGACACGGCGTCCTTCCGCGGCTCGTCGGCGCCTGCATCGTCGTCGTCGTCGTCGTCGGTGGCGGCGTTCGTGTTGGACGACCCGTTGGAAGAGCTGCTCGGATTGCCGTCCGCCAAGACCACCTCAGAGTGAGTTTGCATTCGCAGCAACAGTGTTTCAAAAGCGTGTTTGCAAGCGACAAAAAAGCGCGCCAAAAGTGAATTTCGCGGCTTTTTTTTTTTTCTCTGCTTCTTGTGTGTAATTCTTTCAACTGTCGTCCTCGCTCTCACAGTCGCGCACTCATCTTCATGCTGAACGGCGACAGGTCGACGCCTCATGGCAAGCGCGGGAACTGGGCGTTTGTGCCGCCATCGCGCGTCGGCGCTGCAGCTGGAAGCAGTCTTGCAAGCACAAGGTCGTTCAACCCGCCACGAAGCACTGGCACGCCGCCAACGGTCGCTGCAAACGGGTCGGTGAGTCACCATGCAACGACAGGAGTCGACGCTGCTCGGCCGCCGCCAGCTCAAGTTGCTCCAGTTGCTCAAGTTGGCTCAGGATTCGTCGCTGCTTCCACTCTTGCGCTGGCAGCTGCGCCCCCTCGTTCCACTTCGGCTCAGTCAGGGGTCAAGCTGGACCGGACGCCCACTGCTGGTGTGGGTCACTTGGCGCTGGTGGAGGACGCCCAGATGCTTGCGCCGCCTTCGCTGCCGGAAGACTTTGGCTCGATCGACGACGCCCTGTTTGACGACCTGCAGGTGGACTTGCCGAGTGCTCCGACCACGCGAGTCCAATCAGCCAGCAGCAGAGTCTTGCCAGAGAGAGAGCACGAGCACCCCGCGCCCGCAGCTGTTGAGGACGAGCCAATACTCTTTGCGCCAGACACGCAGCTCTCGTCGCCTGAAAACGAGTCCGAGACCCGGCGCAAGCAAGGCAATTTCAGTTCCACAAGTGCAGCAGCCATGGCACATCCAAAGGGCCCATTAGAGAGCAGTCGCTTCAGTCATCACTCGTCGGACGACGCCGATCCTTCGCAAGAGTGCACGCAGCTCTCGACGCCCCCTACCGATCTTCATCGTGTCCGCCAGCTGTTCCTCGAGGATGACGTTTCCGCGGTGAGTATTCTGTGATGTTACCGCTCTTGGAGGCCAGTCCATTGCCTCGTCCTTCGTCTGGTCATACCTCACTTGACACTCTGGCGTTTGCACCCACCACCACCGCTGTTGCTGCTGCTGCTGCTGCTGCTGTTGTTGTTATTGTTTGTTCTGCCTGCAGTTTGACATGGAAGAGGTGGAGGTCAGCTTGAACGGGCTGTCCACCACGATCAACGCTTTGAGCAACGAAATTTGCAATCTGCTGGCGGCACAGAACGGCTCACTACCTCTCCCTCCGGATGGCGTGGACCGACTTGCCATGCGGTGCGTTGTTGGTTGGTTGGTTGGTTGGTTGGTTGGGGTGGTTGGGGTGGTTGCCTGTCGCTTTTTCTTTTGCCTTTGCCGCCAGAGTGGTGTGTACTCATGCATCAAATCATCAAAAATCGTCCCACTACAGAGAGCGACTGCTCAGACATCGCAAGGTGCTGGACTCGCGACGACGCGCTCTCGAGCAGGGCGCCCCCGTCAACAAAATGCCCAGCAGGGCTCAGCAAAACGGCACTGGCGATGCCAACGGGACTGGAAAACCCGCAGCAACTTCGCCAACCACGCTCCGAACTTCGGCCAGCTCGTTCTTGCTCTCAAAGCCTGGAGCAGTGGTCCCTCCGTCGCGATTTCAAAGCTCGATCGTGTCGGTGGTTGCCGGTACCGCGGCAATGCCTGCCTCCCCATTTCGCTCGCACTCGAGCATTCCACCGGGTCCAACATTGACTCGCGGAGCTGCAGCTGCTGCTGGACCTGCTGGACCTGCTGGCGGCGCCCCCACCATGAAAGACGCGGTCACCCCGAGTCCGACCAGTGGTGGTGGTGGTGGTGGTCCTGTGACACCTTTCTCTGCCGCATCGAAACAGCCCCAATGGCCTCCGACGCTGGCCAAGCAGACGTCCTTGAGCAGCAAGCAGCAGCCTTCCATCGGCCAGGCTCTTCCGCTTCCTTTGTCGCCCGTACACGCCCAAGCAACCCCTTCCTTGGTTGATCTTGTGTCGCCAACGCACAGCGCCTCCCTGACTGGCGCCAAAACCATGCCAACAATGCCGAGTTTCGGCAACGCGTCGTCCAGAATGGTCATGTCGGTTGACTCGCCGCTCAGCACCACCACCACAACCACCACCACCAGGCAACCGGAAACTCCTTCCGTGTATGGCCGCTCAAAGTCGTCTGCTGCTGCTGCTGCTGCTGCTGCTGCTGCTCTTGCTGCTGCAGAGCAAGATGACGACGATGCAAATGAGGTTGTCAGCTTGGACGGTTTGGATGACTGCGACGCATACTCGCAGCCTCACGAAACCACTGACAATGACCACCACACGAACGCCGATATGGGCTTTAACGGGACAAGCGGCGCTGGGCTGAACGGTGCGTCGTCGCGCGGCGTCGATGTGGAAGAGTTTCACTTTGACGAGGACGATGATCAAGACTTTGCGATGGTCGATTTGGATCAGTCCGAGCGGCTCGCGGCACCACCAACGTCCACCATCATGGACTACCGCAGTGCCGGTAATAATAATAGCAACAACAACAACAACAACAACAACAACAACAACAACAACAACAACAACAACAACAACAACAACAACAACAACAACGACAGATCATCCAATGCAACCTCCACCACTGCCTCCGCTGCAGCTCGATCCACGTCGACGACGACAATGGGCAGCGCAAGTTCCTCGCAAATTGTGCCCCTGTCTGCTCGAGCGGCGCAGGATTCGGCGGCCAAGTTCAACCGAACCGACTACCCCTGGTCTGGCGATGTGCAAAAGGCCATGCGCAAAGTATTTGGCTTGAACAAGGGCTTCCGCACGCATCAGCTGGAGGTGATCAACTGCACCATGTCTGGGCGGCACTGCCTCGTGCTGATGCCGACGGGCGGTGGCAAGAGCTTGTGCTACCAAAATCCGGCCGTCATCAGCAAGGGCGTGACGATCGTTGTCTCGCCCCTCCTGTCGCTGATTCAAGACCAAGTGGAGGCGCTCGTCCAGCTCAACATTGGCGCCGTCTTCCTTTCCGGCTCGCAGACGGAGGCCGAACAGAGCCGCGTGTATCTCGAGCTGTCGCGCCAGGACGAGCGATGCAAGGTCGTTTACATGACGCCCGAAAAGATCTCGCACTCGACCCGGCTCCTCAGCCAGCTCGACATGCTCTACCAGAGCAAGCGCCTCGCGCGCTTTGTGATTGACGAGGCCCACTGCGTCAGCCAGTGGGGCCACGACTTCCGGCCAGATTACAAGCAGCTGCGAATGCTGCACGACCGATTCCCCACCGTTCCCGTCATGGCACTCACTGCCACGGCGACTGAGCGCGTGCGCTCGGACATTATGAAGCAGCTGAACATCCACCAAGCCGAGATTTTCGTGCAGTCCTTCAACCGCGAAAACCTGCGCTACCAGGTCTACAAGAAGGACAAGACAACCCTCGACGACATTGCCCGCATGATCAAAAAGCAGTGGCCCAAGGACAGCGGTATTGTCTACTGCTTGTCTCGCAAGGACTGCGAAACGGTGGCGCGAGAGCTCGTCCAGCGCGGCATTGCCGCGACCTTTTACCATGCCGGCATGGACCCTGGCGATCGAGCCGTCGTGCAGCGCGATTGGATTGGAAATCGCAAGCAGGTCATTGTGGCCACGATCGCGTTCGGCATGGGCATCAACAAGCCCGACGTGCGCTACGTGTTCCACTACTCTTTGCCAAAGTCGCTGGAAGGCTACTACCAGGAGAGCGGTCGCGCCGGTCGCGACGGCTACGAGGCGCACTGCATCATGTACTACAGCTATGGCGACAAGTCCAAGATGGAGAGCATGATTGAGAAGGGCGATTCGTCTGCCGAGCAAAAGCGCATCCACAAGGACAACCTGGCCAAGATGATCATGTACTGCGAGAATGTCGTCGAGTGTCGCCGTGTGCAGCAGCTCGCCTACTTTGGCGAAAAGTTTGACCGCGCCCTGTGCAAGCGCACTTGCGATAACTGCCGCTCGAGCACTCACTATGTTGAGCGTGACATTTCCTCGGTCACCATCAGTGTCATTGAGTGCGTGCAAGCAGCGACCGGCGAGGATGGCCAGTCGTCGTCGTCGTCTTCGCGGGGCACGCTGCCGAGCAAGCGCTTCACCCTGCTCCATTTCGTGGATGTCTTCCGAGGATCCAACAACCAGCGCATCGCCCAAGCGCAGCACAACCGGCTGCCTGGCCACGGCTTGCTCAAGGACTACGCGCGCGCCGACGTTGAACGCATGCTCAGGCACAACGCATGCTCAGGCACCTCGTCCTCCATGGCATCTTGGCCGAGCGGCTGCATGTCAACATGCACGACTCGGTGAATGCGTACGTCTATCCTGGGCCTGGCGCGCGTGACGTGCTTGACGGTCGCAAAAAGATCATGCTGCCTTTTGTCGAGACGGCCCGAGCGTGGACCGCGCGCGGCGGCGCAGCCGCATCGGCATCGTCTTCGTCTTCCGCCGCAGACGCGCTGGCAGGCAATGCGTCGTCGTCGTCGTCCAACAAGACTGCGTTATTCAAAGCGCCCGCGGCTCGTCGCAGCAATACAGGCGGCGCCTCCACCACCACTCCTCGACACCCCGCAGTGTCATTCGGCTCGGGCAGTGGCCCGGGAGTCACCAAATCAGGACGCGGCAGTGGCCGGTCGCGCGTGTCGGCTGGCAGGGGCAGACGTGTCGGCAGTGGTGCCGTCAGCGGGGTGTTTGGCGAGGACGACGACGACGCGGTTGATGACGACGTGGACGACGCCTTTGCTTACGACGATGATGCCGGGGGCTTTGCCATGGGCGACGACGCCGACGAGGATGAGCAAGAGGACGCGAGCGACAAGCCTGTTGGTCCTTGGAACTTGTCACCGGCCGACCAAACTCGCATTTACGACGCCCTGTTTGAGCGCCGCAAGCTCTTGTGCGAAAAGTCGAACGTCATGCCGCACAATATCATGACGCATGACATGATGTATGAGGTCTCTGTCAACCTTCCCCTGGATCTTCGCGAATTGAGGCAAATCAACAAGTTCACCGTCGTCAAGCTCAAGCAAATCGGCGAGGACATTCTCGAGACGCTGCGCGAGTTTCGGCATCTTCGTTCCCCGCCTGCAGCACCGCCGACAGCGGGATTGTCGCAAGCGCAACTCCACAAGCCACAGCAACAACCGCAGGCACAACATGCGCAACAATTGCTCAATCAGTCCAAAGGTCTGGCTGGCTCGTCGACTAGCCGCGGCGAATCGGTCTCTGCATCATCGTCATCTTCTTCTTCAGCAGCGGCAGCAATGGTGGCAGCATCAGCAGCTGCATCATCATCATCGTCCAAGAGTGCGGTCGATCTCGAGCTAGAAGGCGTCAGGGGACTCCCGCTCAGTCTCAACTTTGACGATGACGACGATGACTTTGACAATGTCGCGATTGGCACGTACGACACGCAAGTCGCAGAGACAACCTATCCTGGAGCGACCACCACAGCCGCCCACTCGCCATACTGGACCTCCAGCACCACCTCCGCTCCCACCCACAGTGAGAAAGTCAACAATGGCGGCGCAAATACGCTCTCCTCGTTTCTTGCGCGAGGCAAGAAGCGAGCCGCGGAGGACTCGGATGAGCAGTCTGCGAACAAACGCGGCGCTCTCGGCTCGGGCGTGACGCCAACGGCCTCTTCTGCCGCTGCACCCGCGACAAAACCGCGCCACGATATTATGGATGAGGATTTGTAACTTGGGGGAAGGCTGCTGACTTTGGTATTTTTTTGTATTGTACTGTAAATTCGCATACGTTTTTATTCGCTTCTGTGTCATTCGTGTACTTGTCCTGGAGTCTCGTGCACTACAATGAATGCAATCAAGAATTCCAGCTGAGACAGAGATAATCGGATCAAAGGGCAAAAGAAAAAACAAAGAGAAGAAAAGCACAGAGCAGTTCATTATGGTGACGTACAAAACAACCAACAAACACAACAACATCAACGAGCTTTCAAACATAACAAACACCACAATTCAACGATAGAGGCATCAAACATAATCACAGAAGGAGAGACACACCGTAGAAGGGATTTGAGCAAAAAAAAAGTGCACAAGAGAGAACAGAAGCGTTAACATGAAACAAAACTAGAGTTGAAGAAAACCCCAAGAAGACGAAACGAACGACCACGAAAGGCAATCCAGGAGACATTGCGGAAGGGAGACGGGGCAGGGTGGAAAGGGGGGGGGCAACAAAGAACTTGAACCAGCAAGCGGCGGGACAAAAAAAATGCAACAAAGGAACCAACAGACCCCATTACGTGTACAAGACACAAGCATGCTTAACCCCGAAAAGAGAGAGAGAGAGGCAGAGAAAAAGAAAGAAAGAATTAGGGGTGTCTTGAAAGAAAAAAAAAAGTCAACTTGGACGACGTTGTGTCGTGTTTTTTTTTTTTTTTCTGGGTTTTTTTTTTCTTGACGACAATGCTGCATCTATGCAACAGCATTCTTGCCGCGACGTTGGCTCTTCTTCTTGCGGCCAAAACAGAAGCAGCATCCCGCTGGCGCGTCATCATTGTCGACGGCCTTGGTGTGGATGGTCTCAAGCGTAGGTTGGTCTTTGGTGTCGGCACGCGCAGCCTGGGGAGTGCTGGCCGTGGCCGATGGAGAAGTGGCCAACTGTGCCGCGCTGGCAGCGGGGATGGAGGCAGTGGTGGCCGTGGCCGGTGCAACCGCAGCTGGGGCGGTGGGGTGAGCAGCCGTGGTGCCAGGGCGGATGGAGCCCGACGAGGACTGGGCCGAGACGGAGGCAATCTTCAAATCCGACCAGTCAAACTTCTTGTCGTTGGGGAAGCCCATGCGCTTGTAGAGCGCCTTGAACATTTTACGCAGATACTCATAGTCGGGCGTCTGGTTGAAGCCGAGGCCGCGGGCGTACCGCAGGTATTCGGCAAACTCGTCGGGGAAGCCCTTGCAGAGCACCTCGATCGGTGTGGCAATCTTGGTGTCGCCAATCTTTTGGTAGCGCTCCTTGAGCGTCTCGGCCTTGAGGCCTTGCCAGGGCAGGGTGCCGCGCAAAAAGTACATAAACATGTGGCCGAGGGCCTCGAGATCGTCGCGTCTGCTCTGCTCCTTGCCGAGATGTGTGTTGATGCTCATGTAGCGCGCGGTGCCCGTGAGGGACTTGTGCTCCCTGTACGGAATGTGCTCGCCCGTCTCCGGGTCGATATACTCTTTGGCGAGGCCAAAGTCAATCATGTTAATTTGGTTTTGCGTGCCCTTCTCCTCGAGGCCAATCAAAAAGTTCTCGGGCTTGACGTCGCGGTAGATGAGGTGCTTGGAGTGCACAATCTCCATTTGGGTGATGAGCTGGATGGCAATCATGATGACCGTCTTGAGGGTAAACTTGCGCGCGCACATGTCAACAAGTCTTCGAGCGAAGGGCCGAGCAGCTCGAGCACCATGGCGTTGTACTTGCCGGGCCACGCCAAAGTAGTACACTG